GCCGTAGTCGACCAGTACACATACCTCGGAGTAGAGATCGCAAAAGATTGCTCGTGGAATGCACCCATGTCCAAGGTAGCGGAAAAGGGCAAAGCACGAGCAGGGAAGCTTCACCCAATACTCGCAAACCGGCACCTTGATACACGCATCAAATTGACGGTTTTGAAGAGCGTAATCGTACCGCCGCTGGAGTACGCCGGAGAAGTATGGGAAGGAAATAAGAAGGTAGTGAAAGAACTCGAGGCGGCGCAGATGAAAGCAGCGAAAATCATCCTAGGATGCTCCAAGCGCACAAGTAATGCAGCAGTCAGGGCAGAATTGGGGATCCAATCCCTACGGTCGGGAAGAGACGTAAGGAAGCTGACATGGCAGTACCGCATGTGCGGGATGGGAGAGGAGAGGTTGCCGAGAATAGTATGGGAGGCGAAGTGGGCAAATAAAAAGAGGGGTAGACAACCCACGGAATGGGTCAAGGTTGTAGAGGACGTATGGAAGGGATTGGACATCGACGAAGATGAAACGCTGGAAACGGAGGGTTTACAGGGGTTCAAGGAGAAGATATCTGTTGCTTGTGCCGACAGAGAAGAACAGAATCTAAGGAAAGAATCCAAGGATAAGGAGGGTCTAGAAGTGTACGGAATGTTGAAAGAAGGAATAGGGTTCAAGGATTACCTACATGGACCAATGGATGCAGGGACAAAGCTTAAGGTCAAATTCAGGACCGGGGACATAGGCCTTCGCGAACGTCGACGAAGACATAGGACGGTAGACGACGAAGACGACAAGTTCAAATGTGATTGCGGCTTCGAATGCGAAGACAGTGTTCATGTAGTCGCGGAATGTCCGTGGTACGAAAAGGAGAGGGAAGTGTACATGACTGAGCTGGGAAGAATACAAGGGACGTACAGGGAGATGTTTGAGGCATGGAATAGAGAGGAGAGGACGGTAGCGGTACTGGGGAGTAGGAAGTGGTTTGAAAAGGCGGGAAGTGACATCGGTAGGATAGACAGACTAGGGAAGACATTTTTGAGCCACCTTTGGCAAAGTAGGAAGGAACGATTGGCCATCGGTGATCGGTCCTGTGGGAACAATGCTCCGTCCTCTCGAGGACGCGTGGTCAATGGTCTAACCGCTAAGGCATGCAAAGCATAAGAGTACGCCCCCCCCCCCCCCCCCCCCCCCCCCCCC